GATAACCCAATAACATCCAAGAAGCCTATCCAGGATCATGTTGCATGTAGTTAACATGTCTCTTGAGTCCATCCCCCTAGGCCCAACCCCTCAAAGGTTTCACCACCTTTCAATAGAGCCACCCTGAGGACAATCCTTTAACATATTTTGAGGGATTTTCAAGATCCAAACTACAGCAACCTCCTCTAAGACTTCCAAAATTTAGTATCAAAATGCTCATGGATCATAGAGACATGTAAAGTTAAGTTTATGTTACTCCCACTTGTCTGCTTCTGGACTTCTTTCCCATGGAGAGAGACACTACTAGAAGTCACCAAATTTAAAGCACCAGTACAGAACTCCATCTATTCAACAAATATTTACTGAGTACCTGTTATGTGCCAGATACTGTTCCAGGCACTAGAAATATATCAGTGAATTAAAGAAGGCCCAAGCCCCAAAAGTTTTTCTAGCATTAGGATACAAAGAACAAGTTTTTGTAAAAGTGGATCTCTGTCCTCATCAACTGTTTCTTGAACAGATCTCAGTCAGGATGCTCTCTCTGACTTGGTTGATGATGGGATTTTGGAACAGAACTCATCATCCCCTCACCCCCAGATATGGTCAACTCACAGAATGCGGGACAAGAATTCATATTACTAAATAATTTGTGGTAAAATCCAAAGGATTTTATCCTTTTCCAAAGGATACTTAGTAAAGCAAAATATAATAAAAAGGTTTTATTGTTTAGGATATATGTATGTGTATGTGATAAAATTTTACTGTTTGTATATTGAAAGGGTTTAGGGTGTGTGTGTGTGTGTGTGTGTGTGTGTGTGTGTGTGTGTGTGTGTGTTTGAATTATTTCTTGAGGAGGATCTTTTATACACTTGGCCCTGATTTGGAAGCTTGTTTTATTTAATACCTTCATTATGGACAAGGAAGCTCAGGCACACAATAGCCAAAGTAACCTTCCTTTATTAACCACCCTGTTCAATGTGCTATTTCCACTCATCACTATCTGTTATGGTTTGGATCTAAAATGTCCCCCCAAAAGTTTGTTGAAAGCATAGTTCCTAATGCAGCAAGGTTCAGAGGTGGAGCATTTAGGGAATTATTGGATTGTGAGTATTATAAGTCCATTCATGAATAAATACATTTAATAGAGTAACAATTTGAAAGGACTACTGGGCAGTAATTGTAAGCAGATGGAGCATGGCTGGAGGAGGTGGGTCACTGGGTACTTGACCTGGAAGGGTTCATGCTTCCCCACCCTTTCACTTTCCTTTCCTCTCTTCCCCCTTTCTCCTTTTCCTTCCCCCCCCCTTTCCTTGCTGCTTTCCTCTGCCACACCCTTCCACCACAATGTTCCACCTCACCTTTGGCCCACACCAATGGAGTCAGTTGACCAATGGACTGAGATGTCTGAAACCATGAGCCAAAGCAAACTTTTCCTCCTCTAAGTTGTTCGTGTCAGGTATATGGTCATAGTGAAGAAAAGCTATCTCATGCTGTCAAGTTAGAATTGGGGTTTTAAGTCTTCTATTTCTTGCTTCGTGCCAAGGAAAGGATGAATTAGAAATCATTTTTGAAAACAGAATGTTGGTGCATTTTTCCTTCCTATAATCTAGATGCCTAAAAGTATCTTTGGGAAGAGGGAAACATCAATTAAATCTTATTCCTGATCAGGCAGCTGTTTTACAAACTGTTACAATCTCAAACCAACCCTCAACATGGGAGAGTTAAAAGACAATTGCTGTTAAGAGACACTCTAAGAAATGGAACTGCATGAACGGATTGCTACATCACGTACAGGTCCCCAAAGCAGAATAAAATGACAAAGCCACATTCAAGCTATCACAGCCTAACAAATGGGTTAATGCTAACGTGAAGTGGGTTTTGTTTGTTTGGGGTTTTTTTTGTTTGTTTTTTCTTTGTTTTGGTACTGGGTTCAACCCAGGGGTACTTTACTGAGCTATGTGCCAAGCCCTTTTTATTTGTTGGGACAGATTCTGGCTAAATTGTTGAGGCTAGCCTAAAACTTGCAATCCTCCTTCCTCAACCTCCTAAGCCTCTGGGATTCCAGGTGACTAAATGTGAAGTTTTTATTGGTCTTTTGAGAGTGAAGAAATAAAAGAAATGCCAAGCCTTTTAGGCTCATCCTGGGAGGGCCTAGAAGGCATCTGCAGTAGACAGAGGCAGAATGGAGACTAGAGGCCGTCAGGTAAAAATTTGCTTGCAAATAGAAATATGAACTTTCAATAACACAGCAAGCAGTTGAACCTAGCAACTATCTCAAGGAACTGTGGTCACTGGAGGTTCAGTAAGAGTCTGTCTGGAGCTTGCTCACCTCCTTCCTCTGTATTTTCAGATGTACTCTTGGCACCTTTAATCTTCCAATGACATCTTTTTCCTTCAGTTTCCAAATAGATGTCCCATCTGGAGAATTATTAAAATAGAGACTCCTGTAGGGTCTAAGGATAGGCAGGAGAGCGGAGAGGGTAGAAGCAGCCTCCTTGCTGTGGCCTCCAAAGCCCTGTAGGATCTCTACCTTTCAGGTTTCATCTCCCATCTCTCTCTTTCTCTCACTTGCTGTTTCTTCTCACAGATGACTCTTTTTTGATAACATTAAACTCATTTGTGCTTCAGGATCTCTAAGCTTATTGCCTGGGATGTTTTTTCCTCCAGATACTAGCATTCAGGTTTCTGATCAAGACGCCTCCCTAGATAGACATTTAAAGAAACCATTCTGTATGTTCCTCCAACCCAATGCCAGTATCACCAAACTGTGGTACACTGTCAAAAAGCATGTATTAACTGATAGCTTGGTTTATTTACTTGGTGATTTGTCTCAGACTACCATGAAAGTCCTGAGGCAAGAACATGTTTCTCTTGTTCATCACTCTAGTACCCAGAAAAACTTGGAACATAAAAAATAAACATTCATGCAATATTTATAAATGCATGATCTCTCTGAAATCGTATGCTGAAGTATGTATACATACACAGATACATTCTCCCCTGCTAGGGAAAATCCCTAGATTTTATTAAATTAAAACTCACTAAACAAATTATTATGACAGAGACTCTGGGGACCTGCCATTTGTCACCAGTATGCTTCTCAGACCTTTACTCATAAAAATAAAATCTCAGACCTCACCCCAAACATGTTAAATCTGAATCTAAACCTTTGCAATAGACTTCTCCAACTCAATGCAACCTTAGCAAGAGTCTCAAGTGATTCATATATGCACATTAAAGTTTGAGAAATACTGCTCCAAATACAGTAAAAAATTTTAGCCAGGGCTTCACAGACTTCATTAGTATTCACTGGATACATTTGCAAGAAATAAAATGCTTGTTAAATATTCAAACAGAAGATTCTATAAGCCTTTAAGTTTAAAATGGAGATGTATGCTTCTTACAAATTTCTTGTTTTATACCATATCCTATTCATCAATATACTACCTTTGAAAAATATTATTTGAGTAAATGACCTAATTATTATAACCTCCTTCATAAAAGTAATCTGCTTTGTTAGTTCTTAACCTTGGCTCACACTATAATCACCCCAGGAATTTAAAAAATATTGGACTGAGTTTCACTCCTAGAGATTTTGATTAATTATCTGGGATATACATTGAGCACGGGTAGTTGAAAATGTCTCCCAGATGATTCTAATACACAGCCAAAATTGAAACCCATTATATTATATAACATCTTCTCCCTCCGATCATTACTTGGAATGCATTCCCAAAGATGGGCAAGAAAGAGAGGCCAGAAGATCCTAGTTTGATGGAATCTTCTTTTCCCCTTCCGCTCTCTTGAAGCCTTCCTTTCTAGAATTTGGTAACTGATGAGAACTTTGAGCAAAAAGTTAATACACTGAGGTTAATGGAATTGGTGAAGATGATTATACTAAGGAACTGGGTAAAGCTAGATAAACTCAGAGCTATTGAATCATAACTTGAGTCTCTACTGTAAATTCATGGTTTTTAACATAATTATATAGATGCATTCAAAGATAGATAATCTCTCTCAATAAGGTTAGGATTATGAAACACAAGGACAGGCTGAGGAATAGTTATTGGGGGTCTCCCCTTGAAGGACACTGTGTGTCCCTGCCCTCTTCTTCTTCCTCTTCTGCTTTCTGACTATGAGGTGAGCAGTTTTTCTCTGCCATGGTGTTCTGCCTTGCCACAGGTCCAAAGCAATAGGACCAACTGATCTTGAACTGAAACCTCCCCAACTGAAAACCAAAATAAACTTCATTGCCTTATAAATTGATTATCTCAGGTATTTGTTATTATCTCAGGTAATAGAAAACTAACAAACAGAGAAGAAAGTATGACCCCACTTCCCCCAACCCACATATCTCTTCGTTTCCCTATTGGTAGGGTCTGGGTGTATGTTATAATGTATGTCTGGCCCAGGAAAAACATGACTTCTAAGAATCTTATCAGAAAGGATTTGTAAATGTAAGAATCCTTTACTTATCTGTTATATAAATTCAGATTTTATTATTGGATTTGCTTGAGTCAAAATTATTTGTATTAGGGGCTGGGACTGCAATTTAGTGGTAGAGCACTTCCCTAGCATGTGTGAGGCACTGAGTTTGATTCTCAGCACCACATATAAATAAAATGAAGGACTGCAGGGCTCAGAGGTGAATACCTGTTATCCCAGCAGCTCGGGAGGTGGAAGGAGGAGGATTGCAAGTTCAAAGCCAGCCTCAGCAAAAGCGAGGCACTAAGCAACTCGGTGAGACTCTGTCTCTAAATAAAATACAAAAAATAAGGCTGGGGATGTAGTCAAGTGCCCCTGAGTTCAATCTCCAGTACCCCACCTCCCAACCCCCAAATAAAATAAAGGTCCATCAACAACTAAAAAGAAAACTTAAAAGAAATATTTGTAGTAAAGATTAGCTCTCGGGCTGGGGATGTGGCTCAAGCGATAGCGCACTCACCTGGCATGTGTGGGGCGCTGGGTTCAATCCTCAGCACCACATAAAAATAAAATAAAGATGTAAAAAAAAAAGATATAGCTCTCACATTTTCAACAGATTTCTATAGCACATCTTTGCTCATAAACTGAAAAATTATGAGGGCTGACCTAAAAAATAATTTTTTAAAAACTAGTTTAAAATTCTCATGGTCCTTTCACCAATGTCCTGTTGATTGATGCAATAAATCACAACTAATGTGGCTTTAACAATAGGGCACAATTCTGGACATCATTTGTGTGTAAAAATGATATGAAATTTGGCTCTCTTTGGAATATCAAATGCTGAATAGCCGCTGGAGTCCAGTAGCCTGTTATGAAAACAGGGTGGAGGAGTAGGGGGGGGGAACGGGTGGACCCTTCCTATTGGACAGGGATATTTTGCCTGGTATTTGTCTGGTTTTCACATAAAAGACAGGAACCACTGAAGTCAGTCCCTACTTCCAGTCGTAGAGGTCAGTCAAAACAGAAAGAAAGGAAGATGGCAAGAATAATATTACTTCTCCTTCTGGGTCTTGTGGCTATATGCGCTGTGCATGGAGTATTTATGGACAGACTTGCTTCCAAGAAGCTGTGTGCAGATGACGAGTGTGTCTGTAAGGAATTTTTCTTTTTTTATGCTTTTCATTATATTATTATATATATATCTCCAATATATCCACTAACAGCACAAAATCGAATTGTACTTCCAAGTGAATTTTCTTCAATGTCTGTGTTATCAGCATTGCACATCCTGGTCTGTGCTCTTGGGGTCTGACTATGGAGAATTCACTTTTCTAAGATTTTGTTGCAGCACTAATATTTTGGTTCACTTACTCTTTGTGAGTTGAACCCAGTTGCAAACTGGGATGTGTGAGTCACTCTGATTTTCTAGGTGGTTTTTTTTTTTAAACATGCTTATAAAATGTAGTAAATTCAATTTTCTTTTCTTCCAGATACTATTTCTCTGGCTAGTGCTCAAGAAGATTACAATGCCCCAGACTGTAGATTCATTAATGTTAAAAAAGGACAGCAAATCTATGTTTACTCAAAGCTGGTGAAAGAAAATGAAGCTGGAGAGTTTTGGGCTGGCAGTGTAAGATGAGATTATTAAAAACATACACATATCTTCACACATGTTGCTCTTAATTTTTCCACAATTACCTGTCTGAAACCTATTTTAATGCTTAAAACTGTTAAAAACAATTGGAAATTGTAAATGCAAAAATTCAGGTGTATTGCTATTATTGCATTTTAAAGAAACAAAGGTAATTTCATAACAAAACCAAAGGCAGGTTAATGTGATGTTTTGGCAAGAATAAAACCATAAACATTGGGACTTGGACATCCCAAAGAGTTTGAGTCTTATTCAAAAATGTTCCAGAAAACTTGCCAAGTAAAAGGTATGTGTGTTGGCAGTCAGTCTAAGTTAAAATATTCTTTTAGGAAACTTTAGTACCCACTTTCATTCCAAAGAATCTGTTTTCTTCAGTTAAAATACACAGGGCCAGACCCTGGGGAGAGATGAAGCAAGGTTGGTTTACGTCTTGGTTGGAAATCCCAAAGAGGTTCTAAGGTAATGAAGAATTAGATTGAAATACATTCCAAGTATCCTTTCATTTGAATTGTTATATACTGAGAAATAGATATCCTTTAAAACAAAAGTATCAAGTAAATACTTTTAAAAATTACTGTCTTTATTATTATTATTATTATTTATGGATTCCTAAAAGATTTCAGGCTTAGCTGCTATAAATGAAGTTCCAACTTTGACCGAGTTCCCTGGAAACCAGAGTGAAAGGGAGGTGCTGGTAGTTACGAAATTCTTTTTATCAGCAAAGAGGATACCTGCAGGTTTTGCCCTAACTGATCCTCTTTTGGGTATTCAGGTTTATGGTGATCATCAGGATGAAATGGGAATCGTGGGTTATTTCCCCAGCAACCTGGTCAAAGAGCAACATGTGTACCAGGAAGCCACCAAAGAAGTTCCCACTACGGTAAGCATCTCAGAAGTGAACATTAGAAGTCTCAGATCTTGGGGTAATAATATAGGCTGGTGCTAAAAATGCATCATGCGACCTACAAGATGTGTTGGAAAAGCCCTCTATTTCCAATGCCAACTTGCCAGAAATAGTGAGGCTTGGGGGGACATTTAAATCACCTATTTGTATTGAATATTAGTGCAATTCTCCTGCAACTCCCTAGCCCACCCCTCTTTTTAAAAGTTTATTATTTTTGTTTTAACTGTATTTTTTTCTGTGTTATTGGGGATATAACTGACGAGTAACAACTGTGTATATTTAAGGGGTAAAACTTGATGTTTGCATATACATATGAATGGTGAAATGATCATCACAATCAAGCTGGTTAACATCTGTTACCTCACATAGTTACTTTTGTGTTTATATGTGTGTATTTAAAGCACTTCAGATCTACCTTCTTAGCAAATTTCAAGCATACAATACAGTACTCTTTTGTTTTATATGTGAATCATCCTGAAAGGATTCCATGTCACAAAGAAAGAAACTAAAATAATATTAACTGACTCTCACAGTTTACACATATTTATAAAAGACAGATGGGGGGGAATTAGTACCTGTTTTTTGATAAAAATCAAAAAATTCTAGAAAAATCTTTGAATGCCTTATTTTTGTGACAAATAGACTCAACTTAAGTATGAAGTACATTCATACTCTTCCCAGAGCCCTGGGGTCTCTGAACCTCATGACAAAAAAAAAAAAAAAAAGATTTTTCTGAGCTGCTTTGCATGATGGTTGTTTTGAAGAGATTTTTCCCAAGGCTAATTACTGTTTCAAACATTGCCTAGCCTACACAAATACCACTCACTTGTTAGCGCTTCTTAGCACTAAGCTTGATCTGTCAAATAACCATAAATTAAAAGTTTATTTGAGGACTTTCATTTTAAGCAGCTTTTGACTTGAAGTGGTAATTATTTTATATTCTTTGGGGTCTGGCCTTTATTTCTTTTAAATCCAGATTTCTCTTTGATTGGATATGATTTTAAAGAAAGAACTTATATCTGTCTTCTGGCCCAACCTGCTCAGTTCAATCTTTTATTTCTTTCTCTCTTCTTCTCTTCCAGGATATCGACTTCTTCTGCGAATAAAAAATAAGCTAAAACTTCAGATAAAAAACGAAACACCAAAAATGAAGAAAAAAGCCAAAATAACAAAGAAGTGCTTGTCTCTAATTTCTGACTTTTGTTTCAAGAGGGGCTGGGGCTTGGGTCTGGAGGTGGAGTAAAAGAGGATTTTCAACTCAGCCTTTTTTACTGTATGCATGGTCTTTCCACAAACAGGATGGAACAGGGCAGTGTTTACTCAAATGAATGAATTGAAACTGAAGAATTAATTTTCAAACTAGAGAATCTTCTTTTACATGGAAATGCATGTAGAAGATGATTTATTTCTAGTTATTTCTAGATAGTAATTCTTCCCAGCTCTTTGACACTCTGTACATAAACTTGGTGAGCCCTAGGTTTTACCTTTGGAAATCATGTTTCCTAGTTATTTGTCTCTCTGGCCATATGGAGCATTAAGAATATATCTAAAGGAATTACATTATTAAGGAGTATTCTAGTATTATTACTTTTAATAATTGATCATTTTGGATGTGAAGTTGTTGGGAATTTTAAAAAAAAGAAGTTTTTGGACTCAGATGTTTTAACTATGTCTCTGAACTTTTAAAATAGTTTCACATATTATTTCGATTAAATAACTTTACCTTTTAAATAATCAACTTACCTCCCTCCAAATTTGAATAACTATATGTGTATATCTGTATGTACTTTAAGAGGGCAGTTTATGAAAATAACTGTGTGTGTGTGAGTGCGTGCATGGGACCTCAAGCTTGCTGGGCCATTGCTCTTCCACTGAGCCACATTCCCAGTCCCTTGAAGGTTTTCACTCCTTCCTTCCTTCCTTCCTTCCTTCCTTCCTTCCTTCCTTCCTTCCTTCCTTCCTTCCTTCCTTCCTTCCTTATTTTCTTTCTTTCTTTCTTCTCAGTACTGGAGATTGAACCCAGGGGCACTTTACCACTGAGTTACATCTCCAATCTTTTTTATTTTTGTATTTTGAGACAGGGTCTCACTAAGTTGCTTAGAGCCTTGCTTAGTTGCTGAGAATGGCCTTGAACTTGCAATCCCCCTGCCTCAGCCTCCTGAGTCACTGGAATTGCAATTGTGTACTACTGCACCTGGCTTCACTACACTTTCAATGGAACAGTTTCCCCTTAATAGTGCTCTCACTGATGTTTCAAGCTTCCATTCATCAAACGACAAAGACAAAAAATGTCTGTGGGCTTTTTCTCTACTTCTATTTCAATTTTTAATTTCTTCTTTCTGTGCAGATTCCTCTAGTCAAGTATGATGTGTCAAAAATATCTGATGAGGGGATACAGATTTTGTGGTCCTGAAAGGCCCACAAGTTTTTCTATAGTTAGTTGGAAATCTGCACTGTAATTGTGTATCAGTAATGTCATTATTTTGATTTACTTGTGAAGTTTTATTTGTTCATATGTAATTTAAATCTAATCTGCTTAAAAAAGAAAGCTTCTGGGATTTAAAAAAAAATTAACATTTGACCTTTGGATATACAGACTGTTTGGGAATGGAATAGCTTTTCAGTTTTCTACAATCTGGTCATCTCACAAGCGTGAAGAAGGAAGCAGAAGAGAACATTTAAGGCAAGTCAGAGTCTTGGGCCAGGGTCATTTTTCAGTTGTGTTCACTATGGCTTTGAGTGAATGCCGCAGTCCGTCTTGGCAAAATAACCGGGAGGTGACAAGCAACTTAAAGGTTGAAGCGGGAACTGCTTTATTGCGGGGAAACTCAGCGGGAACTGAGCAGGAACTCAAGGTAGCTGGAACCCAAGATAGCGGAACCGCTTTATTGTGGGACAGCAGAGGTATATATACCTAACTGATTACACACAGCTTGACTCAATTAGCATCATTTAGATACAGCAATCAGCCAATAAGGAATCCCCACCATCTAAACGGCTCGGTAGCGTTGCCTCACAAACCACTCCTCCTGGCAAACTGCCAGGCGCCATCTTGACTTGATTTGAGATCCCCAACAAGTGAATGTCATTTTACCAAATTTTTACGGAGGTCATTCAGTAAAATAGCACAAAAAAGAAAAAAAGAGAGAGAGAGAGAGTAAAAAGGAAAGCAAAAAGAAAATCTATAAACACCCACAGTTTACAGGACTCTAGCTAACTTTATTTCATAAAAGTTTTCAGATATCATCTGGCATCTAGGGCTCACAGCACAATTTTGAAACAGACATTACTCCTACTTCTGTTTCTTTCTGCCTCTCAGTTGCTGGCTCTCCTTTGCCCCTTGAGACGCCCCACACCCTCATTTCACCATTCATCTGGCCTCACTCCCATGCTTAGGGCATCTGCAGCAGAATTCCCACTCTGCTGCTATAACATGCTAGATATTTTACTGATAAAAATCAAAGGTACTGATGCTGATCATATGGAATTTCTAAATCAAATATATTTGTGACACTTTCCAGAGTGCATACACTTTTGGAATTTTATATCAAAATCACCTGAAATTATCTGAAATATTCCAAAGTCATTCCACTAGCAACTCAATGACGTGGTATGAAATGTATGAGTACAATTTTTATTATAATTCCCAGTTCTGCCCACAGCCTTTTATTGGCACTGATGTGCCAGTTAACTACATCCCACCACGTTTTATAAGAATCCACATATTAGATATGTAAAATTTGCTTACCTGTGAGATCTATAGGTAGGTGGGTGTGGGCATGCAAGTTCTCACATCTAGGCTCAACGAAGTAGGATTGCTTCCCATGAATACACCCATTCTGGAAAGAGCATAAACAGCAACACCTCTGGGAAAACTGACCTCAAAAAGGGAGTGTCTCATCACAGTGTGAGAGGCTTGGGTTTCCATACCTGATGGGACTTGTGGCAACTGTAGTGCTGTGAACTGTCCCTCTGCTCTTGTGATGTTGGAAGTCCAAGTCCCTGGCTACATATAGTAACAGCCTAGGTGACCATCAGGAAGAGAGGACACCTCCACTGCCCATAGCAGCAAGTATCCACCTGGAGATGAAGGCGCAGTGTCTTCTACTCTTCCAAATGAATATGCACGGATGTGAGGTGCATACAAATCAGCAGTTTATTCTGTCTAGATGATTAGATGTTGCGTATACCTTTTTATGTTAAATAATTCTATAAATAATACAAGCAATTTGAAAAAGTTACTTTGGATTGGTTTCCCCAAATGATGTCAAAATCAACAGAATACATGTCATGTAATATGGATCATTGGAGGTTTCTTTGGCATTATTTTACATTGTGAGGAATAATGGCCAAGCTTTTTATTTTTGTGACCACTATCTTCACAATTCACTCATTTACAAAGTGAGAATAATAATGCCTTCGGGGGTAATAATAACTAACTTTGAACATAATTATGAAGATTAAGTTAAATAAGACCCCGTAGGTATCACCCAGTGGAGTGCACCATCCACAGTAGGTTTGTAATTAAATTTAAATAAAAAGTGAGACAACTTTAAGTTTTTTGAGACCTCTGAAAAACTGCTTTTAAAAGTAAATTAAAGTATATCTTGAGCATCTTTTAATTCCAGAACACTAATTGTCGGGAGCTGCCCTGGGTGCAGACCTTCAAGTCCTGATGCCCTGGGCACTGACCAATTATTGCCTTTAGTCTGGCATGATAGTGCCAGATTGAAATAACTTGGGTGTTACCCCAGCTCAGATAGCAAGGTGTGGCTCCAGTTATAGGCATCACCCATGGGAGTTGAGCTACACTCACCTGTTCCTTTGTAATGCTACCCCTTGCCTCATTTAAATGGCTTCTCCCCACTAAAATGGTTCAACATGTGCTCCTCACTCTCTTTTCTTGCCTGCCTTGTCCCCCTTATGGAAGCTGCAGCTGAGGAGCAGTCATTGAACCCAAAGAAAAGGAACTTTCTGTGTCTATGTCTTTATTTATTCCCCAAATTCACTTGGAGTGACCCTGACTGGTTTAGTCATGAGACGTGACAACTTATGTTAGTCCTCAGATTTTTCTGAAATTATCTACGAGGCATGTTGCAAATACATGCTGCAAGCACAATGAGGCAAGCATGCATGTGCACACACCAGCACCGGTGTGTGCCTACACGTGAGCATGACAAATGTTATTCTCCAAGTCTGGGGTGGTACATCTTTCCTGACTTCATTATTGGAGAAGTGTCTGGTGCTTTGTCAGATTTTTTTTCTTTTAAGCCTTGGCAAAAGAGAACAAATCAGGGAGGTACAGTTCCTTTACAAGCACCCTTATGTTCCTACTTTGTCCTCTCCCTCTCACCCTCTAGGGTTCTCCAAAAATGTTGCAAAAGGTAGGGGGCATCCAGGCCCCATTCCCAGCCAATAATGACTTCACTTGACTTCAGCCATTCCTCTGAGTGCTTGTCCTTGGGATGACTAATACATAAGTGGCCAGGAATCCTTTTGAAGAAAACCTTTGTCCTGCAGAAACTATTAGCCTTGACCTAATTAATGGGTCTTTAGATCTGCAGAAAACCTCATTTTCAAGGCACTGACTTTTGAATTTCCTGGCTACTTCCTGGGAACAAGCATTTAGCAAATGACAAAAAAGGGCAATTAAAGCAGGGCTTTGGTAATCTGTGAACACACTGGGAGCTCAATCCTGAAGATAAGGTAGCAAAATATGCTTATTCCTGTGGTAATAACCTTCTTTGTTAAAAAGTTGTCTCTTGTTCAAGGAACGAGTGGTTAGGACTGCTGTTTTGCTTTTTTGTAAAGCTGTATGAGGTAAATTAGAAATCAGAATCCCCATCAAATATTGAGACTAGAAACCCATCCTTTAAATTCCTGACTATGAATTCATAAGATCCTTTCCATATCAGGTCTAGCAAGGATTTTTTTTTCGGACTTTCTGTGTGATTTATCAAACAGCAACAGTGTATCTGAAGTAATTTTCAGAAATGGCAATTTACAAGTAGACTTTTATCAGAAACTTCCTGGTGATGGCAGGTCTCTTCATTTCACCACCCACTCCCAAATGCTTTTGTGAAGACACTGTTTGCATGAAAAATTTCTGAGTCACAGTTGATTTAGTTCAGTGTTCACAATGAACAAGGCAACTAAATCTATCAGTAGTTTTCTGTATAAGAAAAGCCCTATACATGTCATAAGTGGAAAGAAAGATAATCTTAAGAGTGTCAGCCTTGGGCTGGGGCTGTAGCTCAGTGGTAGAGCACTTGCCTCGAATTTGGAAGGTCCTGGGTTCTATCCTTAGCACCATGTAAAAATAAAATAAAGGTATTGTGTCCATCTACAACTAAAAAATAAATAAATAAAAAAGAGTGTCAGCCTCTTTAGTGTCACCCTTTCCTGACCTTAGATAAATATGGCCCATTATTTCTTCTCATGTTTATCGATAGAGGGGGTGTATATGCCCTCATGGATCAGATTCAAGGCAGGGAAATAGTAAGTCTGTTCATGTAGTATTTAAACAAATCCCAGAAGGGGGTAAGTATTTCAGCTCTGATTGGAGAGAAGAAATAGGAGTAAGCATGAAGAAAATCTCATTCCTTCAATCACCAACCTCAACTATTTGAAAACAGAGAGGAAAAGAGAGCGAGAAAAAGAAAAAAAAAAGAAATGACTACAACCTATAATACTTGTCTTACTCTTGAAATACAATTTCAGGCCTTCTGATATCTTCTAAGCCTACAAATACCATGGTATATCAGCAATTTAATAAAAAATGATGTATTGATCCATTTATATAATCTGCCCTCGATGTTATCTAGCCCATTATGAACTAAGAGAATGTTCCCCAACTCCTGATTTAAATATTTTTCTAATGGAAGTTATTTTCTGTCACCTGTGAGCAATTGTTTTAATCATTTTTTTAAAGTGTACAACATGCTTAAGTCAGCGTGTT